GAATAGAATAGAATAGAATAGAATAGAATAGAATAGAATAGAATAGAAAACAGCTTTATTGTCACTTTGAAATGTACACTGATCGGCATACATTAAAATGAAATTTCATTGTATACAGCTCTCAAAGGGTCACTGCCTCCAATATATACTACATGAACATGACAAAATAAATACAAAATTATGTATGTACCCACATGTACTGTATTATCTATCTATCTATCTATCTATCTATCTATCTATCTATCTATCTATCTATCTATCTATCTATCTGTCTGTCTGTCTGTCTGTCATCTATCTATCTATCTATCTATCTATCTACCTACCTACCTACCTACCTACCTACCTGTATCTATCTATATCATCTCTATCTACATCTATTTATCTATTTATTATCTATCTTAGTCTGCCTATCTAGAATTTCTGTTGCTAAGCGAGATGGTTGTTAAGTAAGTTTTGCCCCATTTTACAGCCTTTCTTCCCACAGCACTTAACTGAATCACTGCCGTTGTTAAGTTTGTCACCTGGCTGTTAAAGGAATCTGGCTTCCCCGTGGATTTTGCTTGTCAGAAGGTTGCAAAAGGGGATCACGTGACCCCTGGGAAACTCTGCAACCATTGTAAATATGAGTCGGTTGCCAAGCCTCCAAATGTTGATCATGTGGACCCTGAGGATGCCACAACGGTTGTCAGTTTGAAAAAGGGTCATAAGTCACTTTGTTAGTGCCATTGTAGCTTTGAACAATCACTAAATGAACTGTTATAAGTCGAGCACTACCTGTATTGTAGTTCCCTAACAAGAGCCCTGCTGGTGCAGTGGTTAGAATGCAATATTGCAGGCTAATTCTGCCGACTGCCAGCAGTTCGATCCTGACCGGCTCCAGGTTGACTCAGCCTTCCCTCCTTCCGAGGTCAGTAAAATGAGGAGCCAGATTGTTGGGGGCAGATAGGTTGACTCTTTAAAATACGAGGGAAGCAGTATATAAGTGCTATTGCAATTCCTCCCTCCCTTCCTCCCTTCCTTCCTTCCTTGTGGTGCAGTGGTTAGCTGATTCTGCCCACTGCCAGCAGTTTGATCCTGACCTGCTCCAAGTTGACTCAGCCTTCCCTCCTTCCGAGGTGGGTCAAATGAGGACCCAGATTGTTGGAGGCAAGAGGCTGACTCTGTAAACTGCTTAGAGGGGGCTGTAAATGCAATTGCTATCATCCCGTCCAAATTTTCCCCGTGGCCGATCTTGCTTAGCTTGCAAGCTTAATCTAGGCCACTTGCTGGCGGAGACCAACTGATACTAAATATTTTATAAGGCTTTTTCATTAAGTCTGTGCAAGATCAAGAGAGTCAAAAGACAAACGGCTGGAAAAGTCCCAACCTCAGCACAGCATCCTGGAGACTCAAAAGACCTTCCACCGAGTTTAAGATGCAGCTAACGTCAAAGTGGGTGACCAATGACTTACTCGCCTGGCACACGGGAAGGACTATAAGTATCCACAATGTAGTGCTTGAACATCGATCGGTCAGGTCTCCGGACAAAGGAGGAGGACTGAAGAACGCATTGGAGGTGAGCAGATATATATATATTGATTGCTAAGCTTCTCTTAACAAGTTGGCATCTTCTTAGCAACTTGGATTAAAGCAGGGACATGAAACTGGATGTTCAAATGGGCAAGATATATTTATTGCAATTGCAGGCAATGTTAGATTGCAAAGATGCAACACTCCCTGGGTTGCATTACGATGCCTCCCCCCCCCCCCCACATCCTGATCAGGGATACATGGGTGGCTGCTGAACCTGTTTGCACAGGTGGAAGGAATTGCCTGGGTAGCCTTGCAAAACCAGGTGATGGATTACTGAAAGAAGCAGGGTGTTTGCTGTTAAACCAGGATTGGGTGGTAGCAATGGGCCCATTTTCTTGTCTCGTTCTTTGCTCAGTTTCGGTGGTTGTTCTTTGCTTAGCGTGTAGCAGATGTTTTGGGTTTTTTGTTTTTTTTTTAAAAATAAGATACTTCCTTCTTAGGGACAGCTAGGCTCTTGAACCAATTGAAGTGAGCAGTAGATGCTGTGAAAGAAAAGGGAGACAGGGGGAGGGAGGAAGAAGGAAGGAAGGAAGGAAGGAAGGAAGGGAGGGAGGGAGGGAGGGAGGGAGGAAGATGGATGGAAGGAAGGATGGAAGGAAAGGGAAAAGGAAAGGGAAAGAAAGAAAAGAAAGGGAAAGAAAGAAAGAGAGGGGGAAGGAAGGAAGAAGAAAGAAAGAGAGAAAGAAAAAAGAAAGAAAAAGAAGAACTAAGGAAGAGAATGAAAAAGGGGGAAGGAAGGAAGAAGAAAGAAAGAAAGAAAAAAAGGAAAAGAAAAAGAAAGAAAGAAAGAAAGAAAGAAAGAAAGAAAGAAAGAAAGAAAGAAAGAAAGAAAGAAAGAAAGGGAAGGAAAAGAAA